GTGCTCAAGCGGCTCCCCTGGGGCGCGCCGCACGTTCGTGAGCTCCTGGGAGGTCCAGCGGGTTGCTGAGAGGACACATTCCCGACCTCGCCTCTGCGGGGTGTTATTAGGGGAACAAAAAGTGACATAAACATAAAAACTCGGAGGTCCGCGCGGATTTCTCGGAATCGGCGCTGGGGACCCCCGGCGGCGCCGCCCTTGGCGCGCTCCGCGCGCCAGGGAGGGGGGTCCAGCGCCGATCCGAGAAATCCGCGCGGACCTCCGAGTTTTTATGTTTATGTCACTTTTTGTTCCCCTACTTACCCACTGTGCGAATGTCACCATGTTCGTTGGCTCCTGGAAAGTCCAGCGGAGTGCTGTCCTAAAGACTCACCTGAACGACACCTCGTCTCCCAAGGGGCTGCTCATTGCGCGACTGGCGCCACTTCGGTGACTTCACGGGAGGTCCAGCGGAAGGAAGCCTTGAAGGCATCACAATGAGGCTTCCATTCTCTGAGGGCCGCCAACTGCGCAACCGTCGTCACGTTCGTGAGTTCTCGAGAGGTCCAACGGAGCGACACCCTACAAGCATCGAAAATAGACCTCGCCTCCCCAGGGGCCGCCAGTAGCGCACCTGTTGCCATTATCGCGAGTTTTTGGGTCCGTGGCCATTTTGGCTCCAACGATTCCGATCTGGACTGCCACATCACGCGGCGGCCGTGCCAGCGTTCGCTACTGGTCGGGCTTCACCTCGACCAACAGGCTCATTCGACGCAGTGCGTGAGGCGATCTGCATCCACATTGGCCAGGCAGGTGTGCAGATTGGAAATGCATGCTTGCCCCTGCTGAGGCTTGTGCACCTCAAAGAGGTAGCAGGTGTTGCGCCTGGGCGCAGTCCGCGGCTGCGGTGGTTGATGGCGCGCATAGCGTCTGATTACGAGATACCGCGCTCACCCAAGGGTGGCCGTTGCCTTTGGCGATGCCATGTCGAGCCCTTGGGGGGCGCGTCCATGTGTGACGTGGGTTGTCCATCTCATCTGTCGGCTAACTTCGGCATCGACACGGGTTCCAAGGGTAGCATCCCCAAGGGCGGGGCTGGGTGGACTCCGCGGTCCTGTTGGTACGGTGGCTGGTGGCCCGCTCCCGAGACTTCGGTCGAGGGGGCTGATAGGAGTTACATGTCTGCCACGCCCCCCGAGAGTCTGCCACGCCCCCCGAGAGGCACCTAGTCTTACATCGACAAACTGCAGGATCGCTTGCTCCGGTACCCGGGACACCTGAAAGAGTACGCATGGCTACAGACACTCGGGGAGAAAGCCGCCACATCGACATTGTGACCGCTGGGGAGATTCGGCGTTGCCCTCCAGAGCCCACGGGCGGCCAGCCACTGGCCTTTGAGCGCCACGCACAGCTATTTTGCCTCGAGCTTGGCATACAGCCCGACGGCTAAATGCCCTCTTATAGGACAATCGGAGGCGGTGACGATGCCTTCAACACATTCTTCTCCGAGACTGGTGCCAGCAAGCACGTCCCCCGCTGTGTGTCCATTGACTTGAAGCCCGCGGTGGTCGATTAAGTGCGCACAGGCACGCACCGTCAACTGTTCATCTCTGGCGAGGAGGACGCCGCGAGCAGTTTCGCGCGAGGGAACTACACAATCGGCAAGGAGATCGTCGACCTCGTGGCCGATCTGATCAGGAAGCTGGCCGACAACTGCGCCGGCCTCCAGGGCTTCATGATCTACAGCGCCGTCGGCGGAGGCATTGGCTCTGGGCTCGGCTGCCTGATGCCGGAACCGCCTGTCCGCGGACTACGGCAGGAAGGCAAAAGTCTCCTTCACCGTGCGGGCGCGCCCGTAGGTCGCCACCGCAGTGGTGAAGCCTTACAAGGAGCACTCACGGTGAAGCCACAAGAGCCACCGCAGAGGTGAAGCCTTCACGGTGCTCTGCGTGCACTCTCTCCAGGAGCACACAGACAAGACCATCATGTACGACGACGAGGCGTTGTGCGACATGTGCCGCAGCAGCCTCGGCGTCGAGCGTCCTGCGCACACCACTATGAACAGGTTGCTGGCCCAGACCATCTTCTCGTTGACAGCGCCGCTGCGCCTCGACGGTGCTCTGAATGTGGAGATCCCCGAGTTTCAGACCAATTTGGTACCCTACCCGTGCATCCATTTCATGCTCTCGAGCTACGCTCCAGTGCTGTCTGTGGAGAAAGCGTACCACGAGCAGCTGTCCGTGGCACGTGAAGTGCGACCCTCGTCATGGCCAAGGATGTATCCGCAGCAATCACTACTACCACAAGACCTAGCTCCCCTCGTAGGCCTCGCCTTTGACGGCTGGCAAACGTTCCTGGCAACAGGGGCGGGGGGAATTTCGCGACGGCCTCGGTGGTCCGGGGGACCTCTCCAGTTGCAGGACCAACCTCTACCTCCTGCGAAATCTCGGCGGGGAACGGGACGATCCCACGGCGCTGTGGCAGCCTCTCCCGCCCCCTCCAGCTTCGCCGGAGGTTTCGCGACCTACCCTCCGTCTGGGGTCGAAGGGCGCCGACGGCGCGTGGTTGACGCGGCCAACGAGGCTCTGGCAGAGCGGCTCTGGGCTGGAGGAGCGCTTCGAAGAGGGGCTATCTCCTGCTTGGGGCTGCTGCTGACGAGGTGCCCGGGGCTCTCCTACCTCCGGGATCCTCGGAGCGGGGTGCTGTGCACCTCCCGTGCCAAGACATGCAGGAAATTCATCCAGCCCGCTGGTCGCAGCCCGCTGGTCGCAGGCCGGCGCAGAGACGAGCAGGAGGAGGAGATCCGCCGGGATGGGAGTTCTCATGCCCGAGATTTGGGCCCCGAGGGTTGTCAAGCGCGCGTCAGCGTCGCGCTTGATGGGTTTCCTGTCGGGGCGCTCGGCTCGAGGGCGGTGGGGAAGCCTGCCTGGCGCAGGGGGTGCCCGTCTTCGGGCGGGCTGCTGCAGATGTCCGACCATATGATGGACGAAAAACGCCACAACCACCGCTGAGCCGAGCATCCGGAATCGACTACACGTAAGAGTGACCTTTCGCCGGAGTGACCTTTGGTGCGGGCACAATGGGGTCCCCCGATCACCGATTGCAATGCGATGGTAGCGTCTTGCGCGCCTGAGTTTGGTCCCCCCCCGCGTCCCCCCCAAAAGCCGCGCACCAAAGGTCACTCTTACCCAGGGCCACTCTTGCGTGTAGCCGACGGAAGGACGCATGGGGGGGGGCGATACAGGGGGGGGGTAGTGAGGACTGCAGAAGAGGTGCCCTTTCGCCCCCCCCCCCCCCCGAAGGGGGGCCGACGGAAGGACGCCTGGGGGGGGCGATACAGGGGGGGCGGTGAGGGCTTCAGAAGAGGTGCCCTTTCGCCCCCCCCCCCGCCCCCCCCCCGAAGGGGGGCTTGCAGGGCCCGAGACGTGCACCCTCTTCATCTCAGGAGGGGAAAAAAACACACAGACACAATTCATCGGCGACTCTCAGAAAACATGGGAAAATATGGGAAGGGGGGGGGAGACAAAAACCCATAAAATATAGGAAAATACGGGTGGAATTTTTATTTGTGTGTATTTACTTGTGTGTCCCAGTTCCCCTTCATCATCGCCCTCCCACAGCGACGCCCAGAAGCGTGCGCAAATGGCAGTTTGTTCGGGGCAGCTCCAAGAAACACGTTGCACCATGGTTGCGTGCGCAGGGAGAACCGGTTGTGAAACAGTGGAGGGCTGCGGAGCAGAAGTGAACACGATTGGAGAGAGATCGCCGGGGATGGAAAAGCCACATCGTCAATAACGGGTAGTTGCTCTGGAAGTTTGCCGAAAGTTGGCAGTTTAGGACCTCATCCTGGCGCGGCGGTGTTGCCCCTATCGAGAAGGGTTGGGTTCGCCGTGTTGGTGGCCACCGTTTCAGTCAGTGGAGTCCCCGTTAGGGGGGTGGTGAACGTAGGGCATCTGGGCCCCTGGGATTCGCGATCCCCTTTCCCTCTCGATCCTCCGGCCTCTCCTCTTGGCTCCCCGATCCCTCACCCCTCGATCGCCCCAATCCTTTCCTCGAACACCAAAGTCCTCGACCGCCCCCTTTCTTGCCCCGATCCTCCTCGATCCTCGATCGCTCCTGTTTTCCTCTATCCCCGATCCCTCCTGCTCGATCCTCCTCGACCCCCGATCCTCCTCGACTCTCTCCCTCCTTTCGCCGGCCCTTGATCCTCGATCCCCCCCCCCTTTTCCCTCGAGCTCCCTCGAGTCGGGCGGTCGGCGGCCCATTACCTCCTCCACCCTCCTCCCCCTCCTCGCCCCATCCTGCCTCCCCCCCCCCTCCCCCTCCCCCTTCCTGGTTGTCCCCCCCCTCACCTCCTCCCTCCACTCTCCTCCGCCCCTCCTCCCTGCTCTCGGCGTTGCGCTGCCCCCCCCCCCCCCCCCCCCCCTTCCGCTCCTGCGGCCCGCGCGGCCGCCCTCCTCCCGCCGCGGGGCCCGCGCGCCGCGCAGAACCAGAGCTGGGGCGCCTTCGCCTCGGCCGCGCCACCAGGCGCGCCTCCGTCGGGGAGCCGCAGCCGGGGGGCGGGGCGCTGCCGGTGCGCACGGGAGGGGGCAGGAGAAGAAAGGGGAGGAGGAGGAGGCGGAGGAGGAGGAGGAGGAGGGGAGGAGGAGGAGGAGGAGGAGGAGGAGGAGGGGGGGGGGGAGGGGAGGGGGAGGGGGAGGGGGAGGGGGAGGAGGAGGAGGAGGAGGAGGTGGAGGAGGAGGAGGAGGAAGAGGAGGAGGAGGACTGGCCTCCACTGTATGGTCAAAAGACACGGGAGGCCACTGCGCCTCGCCTCGAGGGGGCCCTTCCCGGGGACGGAGGGTCGGACCGGAAAGATCTGCGCGCCTGGTGTCAGGCCTGCGGTCTCTTTTTGGGGGGCACGGTCACGAGGATGCGCTTTGGGCCCCCTGGCCCTGGAGCACCTCGGGGGATCTCGACGCCAGGTGTTCGCTCGCAGGTGCTCGGGCGCGCCTCCAGAGGCCCGGTGCCCTGCAGCCGCTGCGCCTCGCCGAGGGCGTGCTTGGACTGGCCGCTGGAGGGCCGAGGCACGACCCGAAAGCCAGTGCGGTAGGTTCGTGTCGTGTCGACCGGCGGCGATCCCGCCCGCGGCGTTCAACGTTGAACGCCGCGGGCGGCCCAGAACGGTTCGATGTGCAACGATTTGGACGTTTCGGAAGCGGCCGACCTTTCAATGTTGAAGGATCCCCGCGGTGTCAGGAACCAACGCCAGGGTCGACACGACGCGAACTTGCCGTGCTTCCCCGTCGTCTTACATCAAGGCGGACGTTTCCGACAGCTTTCGGCGTCCAGGGCCCGAGAGGGTCGTCTCGGGTGGTTGTTGTCCTGAGGATAGGGGGGTCCATACCTTCGGGGGACCACGGTACGGCAGCAGCGAACTATTTTTCGGAGGTCTGGGACGAGGACGGGGGCGGCTCTATTCTAGCACGCAGGTCACTGCCCCGAGGATCCCAGCGCGTCACGCCCCCCTCGTCTCGTCAGCGAGTCGCGCGGCTCCTAGCGGGCAAGAGAAGCGAACGCCCGAACGCCAATAGACAATGAGTTTGCAGAGGGGACGCGCATCAAGAAACCAGATGCGTTTCGTGAGGGCACTCCGCGCGCTACGCGGTGACTTCCCGCGGCCTCCCGCTACGCTACAAAAAGCTGCTGCGTTCGGGGTGCCCTGGCTTCCCCCAAAAAATCGCACCTCACGCGCGGAGGTTTAGGGCCGGGTCTCTTGCGAGGGTTTCCTGCGGCCGCGTCCGCACTCTCTGGCAGAGGAGGAGAAGAGCCCGCGCGCGCGCCCGAGGGCCAGGGAAGGGGAGAGGAAGCGGCCTCGATGCGGCATGCCCCGGAGGCGGCCTCGCCTGGGCCACGCAGAGAGTCGCTCGGGGGGGAAGGACCCAGCCGTGCCCAGAGCCCCGAGGACCTCGACGCGCCCCGTCCCTCCCCTCCTCGTCCGCTGGCCTGGCCCGCCGAGCCGCCCTCGGCTCCCCGTCGTCGCGGCCAGGGCGAGCCCTCGACGCTCCGAGGATTCCCCGCCGGGACATCCAAAAGCCGTCCCCGGGCGAATTTCAGCATGCACGTCTCAAACAGTGGCGAAGCGTCCTAGCTCGCCTATAGGCCTACCAAACACTGTTCTAAGAACCTTATTGCGGTCTCCACGAAGTGTTCTCCTAACATGTCTGGCCGAGACTGTTTTCTTTTAACACATCGGGCTCACGTTCTAAGAACATTGTTTCTGTTGTTAGAACATGTTTGGGTTCTAAGAACATTTCGTGCTATGCCTATAGGAATGCCAGAACTGTTGGTACCTGCTCAAACATCCAGACATCAAACGTGATGGGAGACAAGTCAGGAGTTGTTCGCTGTTATGTGCCTTCTGGGGCACTCCCTGGGCCCCAGGACCGTCCAACAATGTGAGTGATGACCAGTTGGTCATGGGGAAAGGGTCGGGATTTCTGGGGGCACCGCATTGGGAAAATCAAGACAGTTTGGCTCGCGCGATGTCCTGGAGGCTTCAGAGACTTCGCTGAATCACACTGTGCGCTCTCTCAGTTTTTGCCATATCAGCAGCATTATCACTGTCGCAAAAAGCTGTCGCGGAAAGGCAGACGCCAACTACACAAATGCATCGATTTTGGCCTGGCCCGTGATGGCCCTGGCCAGGATCTTCCGTTTTTCAGTTCAGGTTGTTCGGAACCCACCTTGTGGAGCCCGGTTTCTTCCACGCCGACGTCGCCGTCGCCGACGTCTCCGATGCATGGCCGATGTTCGCCAGTGCATCGACGATGCTTCGACGATTCGGCACGATCCTCCGACCCCATCTACTCCGACCCTATCTGGGAGGGTCTCTACTCTCGTGGCGGAGACTCAGATCTCCGAGGATATGTTATTGTCCATCCAGGCGTTTTTCTTTCACTTATGCTTCTGTGACCAGTTATCGGGCCCTGGAGCCATCAAACACTAGCCCGGGGCGACTGACTCGTTTTGGTTGCGGAAGAAGGCCGGGTGTTGTTGGTTGCGGAAGAGGGCCGGAAAATTCGGCAGGGTTTGCATTGTAGGTCGTTTCTTTGCCAAGGGACCGTCAACAACGATTCAGGGTGCAAGCCGGCTTCGGGGGGGATTGAGATCCCAAGGGGCCGACGTCACGAAAAAATGCAGCGTCCGAAGAGAGGGGCAGTGGCGCTTGGGCCGAGATGGTCACAGTGGCGCTCGGGCAACCCGACCATCGCATGACAGCACATTGCTTAAGCATCAACGTTTGGGGGCCCGCGCGATGTTCCTGGGTCGGCGCCGGACCCCCCCCGCGACGGCGTCTCTGGCGCCGCCCCTATCGCGCTTGGCGCGGCAGGGAAGGGGTTTCCAGCGCCGACCCAAGACACCCGCGCGGCCCTGCAAAAGTTTCTGTGCACATGGTGTTTTGTCGTTTCTGGATCGTCCACTGAACAGTCGCGCTGTCGCGCCCCAGGGGAGCTGATTCGAGCAGCGTCCCTTCCGACCATTCGCTGCTTGTTCGATCGCCCTTCGTGTTTCGAGTTGTTTGGGCAAGCATTTTCTGGTGGCAAGTTTCGCCAAGAAGGAAAGGCGTCCTGATGGAGACGGGAGGGGCAGGAGGGAGGAGGAGGGGGGAGAGGAAGAGGAAGAGTGAGGAAAGCGGGAGGGAGTGGGTGGAAGGGGGAGGAGGAGGAGGAGGAGGAGGAGGAGGAGGAGGAGGAGGAGGAGGAGGAGGAGGAGGAGTAGGGAGGAGGAGGAGGAGAGGAGGGGGGGAGGAGGAGGAGATGGAGGAGGTGGAGGTGGGGGAGGAGGAGGAGCAGGAGGAGGAGGAGCAGGAGGAGGGAGTGGGAGGGAGGGAGGGAGAGGGGGAGAGAGCAGGAGGAGGAGGGGGGGAGGAGGAGGAAGCAGGAGGAGGAAGAAGGAGGGGAGGAGGGAGGAGGAGGAGGGGGAGGAGGAGGAGGAGGAGGAGGAGAGGGAGGAGGGAGGAGGAAGAGGAGGAGGAGGAGGCGTCATGAGAAGGAGAGGGGGGGAGGGACCAGGGAGGAGGAGGAGGAGGAGGCGAGGAGGAGCAGGGAATCAAAGGTGGGAAGGAGGTAGAGAGGGAGGCGATTATGGTCCCCCTCCTGCCCTCCACGCCTCCCCCCGCCTCCCCCCCCCCAGCATACGCCGCCGCGCCGCCCGCGGCCACACCCATGCCCGGCACGTCGATGCCCGGCATGTGGGGGCCTCGGTTTCGAGGACTTTCCACTCGAAGAAGAAGAAGAAGCAGAAGAAGAAGAAGAAGCAGAAGAAGAAGAAGCAGAAACGACAAACATAAGCTTTGCACGCTTCGCGCGGATTGCTTGGATCCGTGCTGGGCCCCCCCAGCGGTGCTTCCGGCGCCGACCCTGGCGCGCCCCGCGCGCCGGGGAGGGGAGCTCAGCGCAGATCCAAGAAGTCCGCGCGGAGCGCGAAAAGTTGATGTTGATGTTTTTCTTCATCGATCCATGCCTCCCAGATGCTCACCTCGCGCGTTCCACGACTCGCAAAGTGACTACTCGCAGACGTCAGAAAAAATGTCCGCCTCGTTGTAACGGAGCGTAGATCCCCCACGTGGGCTCCAGGCCATCGGCGAGTAGTCTTCTTTTCCGAGTAGTGGAACGCGCTTGTCCAGATGGGGTCGGAGTAGATCTTGGCATCGCTCGGACGTGTGCATTTTCCTTCGTCGAGGACCATCGAGGAGCATCCTTGATCATTCGGCGAAAAAACCACGCACGGAACCGAAAAAAAACAGGGAATGGACGTCCGAGCGATGGCAGGGCCTGGGTTGTGGGTGTGAAACCTTGTGGATGTTCGCTGTGATCTCGTGGGAGGCCCAAGAGAGGGAACACGAAGCGAAAATCCAAGCCCTCCGCCCCAAGGTCGCTCGGAGGCCCCAAGAGGTGCCCAGGAGGCCCCAAGAGGCCCCCAAGAGGCCCAAAGAGACCTCCAAGAGGCCCCAAGAGGCTCTAAAAACAGCCACCAAGAGGCCAAGAAGCTTCCAAACTGCCTCCAAAAGGCCCCCGAGAGGCCCCTTTTCGGACCGTCTTAAGGCCCTCTTGGGCCGTCTTGAGGATCTCTTGGGAGACTCTCGGGCCGTCTTGGAGCGGTCTTGGAGACTTCTTGAGCCGTCTTGGAACGTCGGAAAGCCGAAAAGGCGAGGATGCAAACAAAAATGTTTTAACCCCCCCCAGAAAAACATGCAGATCAAAGATGTTGCCCTCTTGGGGCCCTCTTCGGAGGCCTCTTGGGGCGTCTTGGGGGGCCCCTTGGGCCGTCTCGAGTTCGTCTCCGCCGTTTTGGGCCGATCTTGGGGGCCTCTTGGACCCCGTCGCGTCGACCCGCGTGAGCCCTTCGCGTGCCTCCTCCTCGTTCCTCCTCGTCCCCGCTCCTCCTCCTCCTCCTCCTCGTCCCCGCTCCTCCTCCTTCTCCTCCTCCTCCTCCTCCCCCTCCTCCTCCCCCTCCTCCTCCTCCCCCTCCTCCCTGGGGCCGCGGCCGCCCGGGTGGGGACGTCTCTCCTGGGGACCCCTTGGGCGCTCGTGGGCCGCAGCAGATCGTGCGCCACCGCTTCCCAAGAACCCAAGGGGGGCACACGCCGAGCACCCGGGCATTGGCGTCTCTGGAGCCCCGGCCCCCAAGCGACTCCCGACTAGAGGAGGAGGAGGAGGAGGAGGAGGAGGAGGAGGAGGAGGAGGAGGAGGAGGCGGAGGCGGAGGAGGAGGAGGAGGTGGAGGAGGAGGAGGAGGAGGAGGAGGAGGAGGATGGGAGGAGGAGGAGGAGGAGGAGGAGGAGGAGGAGGAGGCTCAGGGGACTGGGCAGACGGCATGAGGACACGCTCACTCCGAGCCCAGCGGCGCGGTGGCGGAGGAGCCAAAAATTGAGCGACGAGCGGGCCCGAGTGGATGGGGTCGGAGGATCGCGCCGCTTCGCCGATGCATTGGCGATGCGGCTCGATGTGGAGCTCGAGTTTCTCCACGCCGACGTCGCTGGTGCATCGCCGACGTCGCCTGTGCATGGCCGATGCATCGACGATGCGGCGCGATCCTCCAACTCCTACTCCGACCCCATCTAGGAAGCCTCTAGTCCTCAAAGTTAAAGACGATAAAGACAGAGGATCAAAGCACGTCGGCGTGGTTGTTGTCAGCTTTGGGCCATGAGGGGGAGTGAGGAAGGGGAGGAGGCAAGAGAAGGCAGGAATAGAGAGCAAGGGAGCAGGAGGTAGGAGAAGGGGGAGTAGGTGGGGGAGGAAGGGAAGCGGGAGAAGAGGGAGGAGGAGGGGAGGAGTGGAGGAGGAGGATGAGAAAAGGAGTGTTCCCCCCCCCTCCTCTGCATCCCTCCCCCTCCCCCTCCTCGACAGAGGCAGACGGGTCCTCAGGGAAAGAAATGGGCCGTCAGGCTTATGCATGGCGGATGCCGCGCCCAGGCGCTGGGTGCCTCTTCCTCCTCCTCCTCCTCCTCCTCCTCCTCCTCCTCCTCCTCCTCCTCCTCCTCCTGCTCCTCCTCCTCCTTTTCCTTTTCCTGCACCTTCTCCTCTCCTCTCCTTTCCTCTCCTCCTCCTCCTCCTCCTCCTCCTCCTCCTCCTCCTCATCCTCCTCTTGTGCCTCCTCCCCCTTCCGCCCTCCTACTGTGCCCCCTCTCTTCCTCCTCCTCCTCCTCCTCCTCCTCCTCCTCCTCCTCATCCTCCTCCTGTGCCTCCTCCTCCGCAACTCTTCACCAGGCTGGTGGGCTTCTCGCAGGGGTAGTTGCGCTTCAACCCCGAGCGAAGGCTCCCCTGAGAGCGCATGGCGGAGAGGAAAGGAGAGATCTCGGCACCGACGCCGATCCTCGGCAGACTTGGGCGAGGCAAAAAAGATGGCGCCCCTGATCCTCGAGGCCCGATGCTACCCATTGGCTGGCCGCCTCCCGCCCGCGGCCGCCTCCCCGGTTGCACACCGGATAAAGTTGTGATTCGGGGGCGGCAGAAAGGGGGGTGATGATTAGGGTTAAGTCGGGCATGTCCCTCTACAGGAGGTTCGAAAATTGCAAAAACTAAAAAAATAGTCTGGGGATGATTGTTTGATGATTTTGCTATTTTGAGCATGTTTTGACTATTTTTCATTTTTCGTCCAAAATCCGCGTGTATGGGGGCATGCCCGACCTAAGACTAGGCGGGGGTAGATCTCACAGCGGGGGCCATGATATCTCCCCAGACTTCGTGGCGCCGCTTCTTGTTTCAATGCGTCCCCGGCCCACTTCCTGGGCCGCGCACATGCTGCTGGCCATGATTTGCGCCTCCCCCTCTTGGACGCCCCCCTCCTGGCCGCCCCCGAGTGCTGTCCATACCCTCGTCGGGCGGGTGATGATGCGGGGTGGCCCACATGGGGGGTGAAGAAAAGGGCCCCAAAGTGGCCCTTCAAGGGCCGCTTTCGGCCCCCTGCTGGCTCGAAAGGAGGCCCCGAAGGGCTCCTTTAGGGCCCCCTTTTCTTCACCCCTTCATTTTGGTCACCCCGCATCACCACCGGCCCGACAGACCTGGACGACGCAGCAGACAGGGTGACGGCCAGGCGTTCGTCGTCGTTTTTGGCCTCGTGGACGCCGGTTTCCCTCCCTGACAACAGTACTCTCGAGGACAGTGCAGGCCTGGGGGAGTGGTCGAAGCCCTGGGGGCCGATGCCACGAACCAAAAACAATATCGGAGCTGAGGGGGTCGCCATGGGAAACGCCGAGGCCGTGTCATCCGCAGGGGCACGGGGATGATTCAGAGCTCGCCCGTGCGTCACGCCTCTTGGCCGCACAGCGGCTCACCCCCACTAAAAAAAGCACACACGAGCGAGCTCGCAGAGAGCTGACCGCGCGCTGCTCGGCGGGAAGTGCGGGGGTCGGGGGACTTCGATGGAAGTTCCGACCCTGATTCCTCTCGCTTCGCGGGGTGCGCGTCCGGTGCACGTTCGGGGCCCGAGGGAAACGGGTCCTGGGGACTATTTTTCGACAAATGTTTGATTATGTTTGAGCAGTTCTGGGGTACTCTTTATTTTTCGATAATATATATATATATACTTATATATATATGTATATATATATATATATGTATATATGTATATACATATACATTTAAAAATAAATATGTTATATATATATATATATATATAAACAAAAAAACACGCCTGTAGGGGGACACGCCCGACCGAAGGATAGTGGCAGGCGTTGCTCGTCGCTCTCCTCCCGGCGGCCCTTCGGGGGGGGGCTCCTCGTGGCCTCGGCTGTGGCTTCCTCCTCCTCGCCCAGGCCCTGCCGGAGCGCACACGGCAGAGAGAGGCCAGGTCGGAAGCTGGAACATGTACATCACCAGTGGCGGGTTGTGTTTGCGTGACATGCTTGTGGTAGGTGGGGACTCGGAGTGCATGTTCGTTGAGGGTGGGCAGGCAGGGAAGCGAGGGGCAGTGGGCGCGCGCCGCAGGAGTGTGGCCTATTGCTGCCTCGATGCTCCCTCCTTCACCTTCCCTCTTCAATCCCGCGACTTTTTCAGGGTCTGGGACGACGTCGGGGTGGTGTGGTGTATACTTTTCCCTTGTTTTCCCAAGGGAAGCAACGAAGAGTGTGTACACCAGGGTCTGGGACGACTTCGGGGTGGTGTGGTGTAGACTTTTCCCTTGTTTCTCCAAGGGCAAGCAACGAAGAGTGTGTGCACCAGGATCCCGCATGCACCAAGAGATCCGCGTTCCTGTGCGAACTTCGGCGCAGGGTTGGAACAAAAACGTCGGTGCATGGAGTTCGTTTCCCTGCCAGGGGGCCCGGGCTGTGGCCCCCGAGCCCCCGGCACGCAGCGTGCACCGAAGCGAGCAGGGCGGCGTCTTGCTCGAGGCTCGAGGGCGAGGGCGCGGAGGGCGGAGGGCCGCGAGTCATCAGGAGGGAAAAAGCGTTCTTGAGGAGGAGGAGGAGGAGGAGGAGGAGGAGGAGGAGGAGGAGGAGTAGGAGGAGGAGGAGAAGGAGGAGGAGGAGTAGGAGGAGGAGGAGGAGGAGGAGGAGGAGGAGGGAGGAGGAGGGAGGAGGAGGAGGAGGAGGGGGAGGACAGACAGACACAATGAATCGTCGATTCCCCAGAAAATATTGGAAAATATGGGCAGTGGGGGGGGGGAAGACAGAAACTCCGAAAATATTCAGAAAAATTTGAGGAATCGTTTTATTCGCGTGCATTTATTTGTGCGTCCCAGGCCCCTTCAGTTGCCCCAGCAGCGTTGGATCTCGTCCAGAAGGCACCCCGCTGGCAGAATCGAGCCAGGCAGGTGTCCCTCTGTACCGGAGGAAGATTCAAAAAAACAGTCACAAAAAGATGTGCCTGGGAACGATGATTCGATTATTGTTGAACCATGGCGTGAACATTCCCCAATCATTGCTTGCACTGAAGGGGTCCTAGCGGAAATTGAAAGATTTGGCGATAGTGTCCCGCCGATTTTGGTGGCCGGCTGGGTGCCCGGGTTCCCGGCTCCAGGTTCCCGGGTTTCTGGTCAGTGGTTCCGGGCCGCTTTCGGTGGGTTCGGGTTTCCAGGTTCCCGGTCGATCTCTTTAGCGATCAAACCATCCATTGATCGGAGTTTTTCTCTGGTGGCATGTTTGGACCAGTTTTTTTGTTCGTCTATCTCTTAACCGGAAGAGGCTCGCTCTCGACCCGCAGACCAAAAAAGTGTGGACGAGTTTTCATCCTTCGCCCAAGATCCGTGGGAGGACATGCCCGATCTCCTGGCAGGAGGCCGGCCCCCCCCCTGGCTGCCACCTAGGCCGGGGGGGGTGGCGGCGGCCTCCCAAAATCACGCAGTGGCGAAGCGTCCTGGCTCCCCAATATACATATACATATATATATATATAGCCCTACGAAACAATGTTCTAAGAACCTTTTGTGGTTTCCACGAGATGTTCTCAGAACATGTCTGGTTGGGACTGTATTGTTTTTTTCGGGGGCGGAAAAGAGGGGGGTAATGATTAGGGGGGGTGGATATCATGGCGGGGGCCATGATTTTTCCCCAGATCTCATGGCGCCCCTTCTTACTTCATTACGTCTCTGGCCCCCTGGCTGGGCCGCGCACATGCCGCCGGTCATGATTTGCACCCCCCCTCTTGGACACCCCCCTCTTGGCCGCTCCCGAGTTTTATCGCATCGGGCTGACGTTCTAAGGGCATTATTTTTGTTTGCTCTTGGAACATGTTCGGGGGTTCTAAGAACATCTCGTGGTAGGACTGTAGGATCGGGGGAGCGTAAGACCCGGGTTTGCCAGGACTCGGGTTCGCCATCGTTTCTTGACGACCGCGCCTCGGATTTTGACGAGGAGGAGTTTCGTGGGATGTCTGCAGCGGGAGGCCTCGTCAAAATGCAGGCTCGGCCTCGTCATTTTTGTTGACGACCTCGTCGGGGATTTCCGAGTCCCCCGTACCCAGGTCTTACGTCCCCCTGACATAAGTTGGAGGGGGGAAGGAGGTGGAGGGCGAGGAGGAGGAGAAGGACGACGAAGAGGAGGAGGAGGAGGACCCCCTCGCCCTCCAACTTGTGGTGGCGGTGGTGGTAAACAGGCCCATCGTTACCCGGGTCTTACGTCTCCCCGATCAAAGGAGGCCAGCCCCCCCCCGGCTGCCCCCTCGGCCCGGGGGGGGAGCGGCGGCCTCCCCAAAAGCCGGCGGGCCCCGCCCCGCGGGCGGCCTCTCCGGGCCTTCGGGAGACCCCCGGCGGGAGGTCGCAGGGGGGGCACCGTGCAGCAGGCGGAGGTGACAGCAGCAGCTCGTCCCCCCAGACACGATCGCGTCGTCAAAAAATCAGGACGGGAGGTTTTTGCTAGTCCTCGGCCTCGGGGAGCCCTCGCGGGGCCTCGGGACCGTCAAAAAACGACTCAGGATAAAAAAATGGTCCCGGGGAAAAGGTCGGGACTTCCAGGGACCCCGTATTGAAAAAATCAGGACGTCGCATGTTTGTCCCTGCAGAGTGGCTCCGTGTCTCCTGCCTGAGGTCCATCCCCGGCATGACGTTTCCAGGCATGGCTCCCAGCAAGGCCACGCGCTTCCTTTTGGGAGAGGAGTGGGCCCGCGTTTGTGAAGAGGCAGAGAGAAAGCGAGCAGGCGGAGGAGGAGGAGGAAAAAGGGGAGAACAACTACGATGCGAATGAAGAGAGCAAGGAAGGACGAAGAGTGGAAAGACAAGAACGGGGAGTCTGAAGGAGGAGACAGATGAGGATAGAGGATGGAGGATGGAGACAAGATAAAGTAGCAGGAAGTCTAGGAGAGGGGGGAGAGTAGGGGAAAGCAGGGAGAGGTGGATGGGGAAGTTGAGGGACATGAGGGACAGAAGAAGAAGGAAGAAGAGTGGAAGCGGGTTCAGGAGGAGCATGAGGAGGGAGGAGAGGAGAAGCGACGCTTGGCAACGGAACACCCACGAAGCGGAGTCGAATCTGAGAATGTGTTGATTTTCCCGTGGCAGTGGAATGCATATCTCCCCCCGTACACATCCGATTAGGAACAGGACAGGACGAGGAGTAGGTCATGGAGGGGAGGACGACGACGATGGGATGGAGGCGCAGGAAGAGGAGGGCAGGAGGATGAGGATTGGGTTCAGGAGTAGAAGCAAGACATTGCTATGGACAAGCGCATGGCACTGCCCGCAGACCGACGGGTGTAAGAGAGACGCCCCCCCGCATTGGGATTATCCATTCATCTTGCGATCGCAACTGCTCCCCCCCTCATCCTCCCTCTCTGCCTCCACCGAAAGGCAACGACGCAGAGGCAAGGAACTAGAGTCCGACCTTCCCAAGCGGTGATACCCGATATAGTGATGTGGCAGATACTCGGTTGGCCCGTCCATTCCCTCTTCATAATACCTCCTCCTTCCATCCCCTATCCCACCAGCCAAGCAAGGCCCTGGTGTGCTGATCCCTCTTTTGCCGGTCCCGGTTTCCCTCGCTTACCCTTGAGTCGGTCTGGCTGGTCGTTTCTGGGTTTCCTTGGGCCGACGCGTGCACTTTCGGCGCGATAGCCCGCAGTCAAACAAAGCTTTCCTCATCGTACCCCGCCTTTTCAGCCCCTGTGTACTCAGGCGGTAGATATATGCTCGACTGGTGGTCTGCGGCCTTTCGAGTACTTCGTAGCAAAGATCTGCAAACATTGCCCAGGGGCGTGCCCACACTATCTGCAACAGGAGAGCAGGGAAAGAGCGCATGTGGAGCAAGACGGAAGCGAGGGCGAGGGGGCGGTGCAGAAACGCAGAGGACGAGAGGTTGAGTTTGCATCTTCGCAGGCCCGCAGTCCGCTCGACCTCCCAGGAGTCCCCCCGGGGGTGGCGACCGCCGCGCGGCCGACAGCTCCCGCGCTCAGCGCTGGACTGCGTGCGAGCGCACGACAGTCGCGGCGGTCGCGTATGTGGCACCGCCCACGGAGGAGACTGTGACGTCTGGTTTGGGCCCACGTACAGTGGGTGCCCATGCCAAGAAACACCCTGCTTGCCTCCAGGGTGCCCTGGGTTTCTTCGGCTTCGGTGCGGGAAGTGCCCCACTGGAAGGCAACCGTCTCGGAACCCCCCATCGCGCCGAGGCACAATTCCTGGGACTTCCGCGCCGCGAATCGACGACACTGGTGCGTCCTGGTGAGCTTGAATCGTGCCCGAAACACCGCTCCTGGGGCCTCATCACTGCGAAACAGAGTGATCGCTGCGCTCCGGCAGCCCTGGATCGCAGCCGAGGGACCACTCCCTGAGACGTCTGCCCGAAGGCTGCTTGAGAAACGGCCGTACTGTGCTTTGACGCACGCGCGCCGCGCGAAAGGCGCGAGTCACACTTGGAAAACCACCCGGCCCTCGCTCCGTGGAGCTCCCCCAGACGTTGAAGACGAACGCGTGCGGTGCTCTCCGGGCGGGGGCCGCCAGTTTGAAAACCGCCCGCCCTCCAGACACGCGAAGTTCGGGCACATTTTTTCAAAACACACGCGCGCGGCGCCAAGGCGAGAGCCGCCAATTTAAAAACCACCCTAAACCCTAAACCCTGTGAGGTCCCTGAAAATTCTAATCTTCAGGATCTTGAGGAAAGAGAACCATTCAGGCGAGACGTCTGGCCAACCCTGCCGACACGTTCGGGGGCGCGACAGGGATGTTACCAGCCTGGAACATATCTCTATCCCTATGCTGGGCATCTCCTCATCACAATGCCAATCTTAGGGATTCCCTTATTTTTTGAGGGCGCATCCCTGAGATTGTCATCGCTTTTTTGGCGTGTCAATCTTAGGGATAGGGATACGTTCGAGGCTGGTAAGGATGAGCAATCCGGAAGAAAAAAGGATGGACGATGGTGGGGGGGACAGGGGGCAAAAGGGAAGGAGGGACGAGGGACGAGGGACGAGGGGGGAAGGCAGGAATTCGTCGGCGTCACCGTCGTTGCCGTCGCCGTCGTCAGGGAGAGGGAGGAGGAGGGCGAGGAGGAGGACGACGGCGACGACGAGTACGTGGACTGCGGCGAGGAGCAGGGTGGGAGGGCGGAGCAGCTGGCGGGAGGGAAGGCGAGGTGCCTGGCATCGCTCGGACGTGTGCATGTTTTTCTCGGCGGGGACCCTGGGAGGAGCATCCTGGATCATCGAGCAAACAAAAACACGCACGAAAACCGAAACGTGCACAGGGAATGGACGTCCGAGCGATGCCAAGTGTGAGGAAAGGGGGAGCAGAGGGAAAGGGTTGGATCCCTGACTGCGCGACTCGAGAGGGAAGAACACACAGAGATGAAGATTCGTCGATGCCCAAGAAGAGATCGAAACTGTTGGACATGGAGGGCAGACGAACATGCGAGAAACATAGGAAATATGCGGGATCTTTGAATGTGTGTCGATTTGTTTGTGTGTCCCCGGGCGCTTACAGTTAAGCAGATGCAAGCCGACGCACTCCGAGACTAACCCAATCTAAACATTTCCAGGTAAGCGTGGAACACATCGTGGAAGGTTTGGCGCGAGCCGAGAGACAGCCTGAGTCGGTGAGCCATTGGCGAGGGCACCAGGGAGGCGGCGACGTGGAAGACGAAAGGGCAGGATTGGGAAAGGAGGGGGCACGAAAGCAGCGACGCCTGGCATCGCTCGGACCTGTGCACTTGTTCCTCGGCGAGGACGCTGAGGAGGAGGAGGAGGAGGAGGAGGAGGAGGAGGAGGAGGAGGAGGAGGTGGGGGAGAGGGGAGAGGGAGAGGGGGAGGATAGGAGGAGGGATAGGAGGAGGAGGAGAAGAGGGAAGGAGGAGGAGGGAGGAGAGGAGAGGAGGAGGAGGAGAGGAGGAGGAGCAACAGAAGCACGCACGCAAAATCCGAAACACGCACGGGGCATGGACGTCCGAGCCATGGCAAGAGAGTGGTGCTGGTCTCGACCCCGCCGCCGGGCGCCTTCCTCGATGCGCCGGCGCCTCTGGCGCCGGCAGGCGCCGAGGAGACCAGCTGCGTGAGCAGATTCGCAGGAGGGGGGCAAGCAAGCAAGAAGGCCATGCATCCAGAAGGACGCAGGAGGGGGGGGGAGGAAAAGAAAAAAAAAAAAAAAGGTTCACAGAGGAGCATCGATTCCCTGGGAAGCACGGGAGAGTGTGGGGAGTGAGGGGGGGGAAGGCGGACCTCCAGAAGAGAGGGGACTTGAGTGCATTTGTGTGTGTGTGTCCTTGGGCCCCCGAGAGGCGGGGAGGGCGGGGACTGCCTCAGGCCGCCTCCCCGGACGAGGACCTGATGTCGAGGGCGATGGCAGGCACGCCGCCGCGGCCACGCGGGTTCTGTGGCGCGATCTAAGCAGCATGTCTCTGCTGTTGTAGCTGCCAGCGGCCCGTCCCGCCACCGTGGCAGCTCGACATGTCCGGCGCTGTCCGCGGAGGCACGGGAGGTTGTCGCGTGGGTGTCACTCCATGTCTCCAGGCGTGGGAGAGCCGTGATGTGGATGTTGGGGATGATGCCGCTGTTGCTGCTGCTGCTGATGACGAGGAAGAGGAGGAGGACCAGTGCAAACCCAAGGCCCATCAACGATGTTGAACGAAAGCCTCCCTCCAAGCCCCCTCTTTCATAGGCCCCATACACAGGGCCACATCCACTGACGAAACTGCTTCGTTGGGAGACAACCGATTGAAGACCCTGACGCGTACCAAACACCACTCTTGGGACTCCAACGCCACGAATCAATATGATTGTTGCGCCTTGACGAGCTGGAATCGTACCAGAACACCTTTCCTGCGATTCCAACACCGCGAATACACGTAAGTGTTGCGCCCTCGCAATCCTGAGTTTGTCCAAAACACCGTTTATGGCAAGTTGACCATCGGAATCCGCGAAAGTTCTGCACTTGGTTAAAATGAGTGCGCGCGGCGCTAAGGCAAGAGCCACATGTTGAAAACGGCCTGCCCTCAATCCGTGAAACGCTTGCAATTTGCAATAACGAATGTGCGCGGCGCTCTGGCGAGAGCCACGTCGAGCCATATTTTGAAAACGCACCGCCCTCGAGCAGTGAAATTTTGTAAGTAAGAAGAGTATTCTGCAAGTAAGAGGGAGGGTAAGAGGGGGGGAACACGGATGCGCGCGGCGCTAAGGCAAGAGCCACAGTTTGAAAACGATGTGCCATCAAGCCGTGAAATTCAGTCAAATGTTTAAAACGAATGTGCGCGGCGCTAAGGCGAGAGCAACATGTTGAAAACAACCCGCCTTGAACCAATCAAATTCTTGCACATGTTAAACGTCAATGTTCGCGGCGCTACGGCGAGAGCCACAGGTTGGAAGCGGCCCTTCCTCCTTTGTGAACATGTCGCCACTGTGTGAGACTCGGGGTCTTAAATGGTGAGGACGATTCAGGCGAAACGCCCGGCCCACCCTTTCGACCGGCCTCGGGGTGCGACAGGGATGAGTAATTCACAAGGAAGGAATAGAAGAGGAAGGCCGTCACATGTGACACATTTCGTCTTCATTATTTGAGGAGCTCTCACGGAATTCGTTTGGACCGTCTTGGGGTTGCCTCGGCCTTTTGTGAGGCATTCGTGGGGGTCCTTTAGGGCCCTCAAGGGCCGTCTTAGGGCTCTCTTGGGTTGCCTTGGGGCCCTCTTGGCCACATGGTGGGTGTCTGGGGGCCGTCGTGGGATCGTCGTGGCGCCTTCTTGGACCGTCGAAGGGCCTTCTCAGGCAGTCGTGGGTCCACGGGAGGCCCGCACTGGCCGTCTTGGGGTTGTATTGGATGCCTCTTCGGCCACTGCGGCTGTGAGGTCCTGTGGGGTCATCTTGGGACCCTCTTGGGGGCCTTTTGGGCCGCCTTGGGGTCATCGCGAAGGCGATTAGGCCGTCTTGAGCTGGCGGAAGCCCAAAGATGCGAGAACGTGCGGAAACCATTGAATCATTCCGACGTGGAAAACCAAATGATAATATGTTTAGTTCGCTTGGGGATCTCCTCTGGCCTCCTCCTACACCCTCCTGCCTCCTCCCCATCTTGCATCATCCTCCTGCCTCCGCCTCGTTCTGCCTCCTCCTCTTCTCCCTCCTCATCCGCCACATGCCTTCTCCTGCCTCCTGCCTGCTGCTGTTGCTGCTGCTGCTGCTGCTCATCATCAGCTGCGTACTACAATTACTACTACTACCCCTCCTCCTCATCATCTTCCTTCTCCATTTCTCATGTGTGTTTCATCTCCTCCTCCTTATCAACATCATTATCATCCTCCTCCGCTTGCTCCTCCTTCTTCTGCTCCTCATTCTGCTCATCCTCCGCCTGCTCCTCCTCTTCCTCCTCCTCCTTGTCGCCCTCGTCCTCCTCCTCATCATCCTCCTCTTCCTCCTCCGCCTTTTCCTCATGCTCCTCCTCGTCCTACTCATGCCTCCTCCTTCTCCACCTCCTTATCCTCTCTCTTCCTCCTCCTCCTGCCTCTTCCTCCTTCGTGAGCCTGCTGCCTTCCCCTGGAGCCCCCTGGGGGCTCCTTGAGATTCCCGGAGCATCAAGGAGCCTTCTGGGGCCTCCCAGAGCCTCATAGGGTTTTTGTTTCCTTTTCCTGCTCATCCATCTCCTCCTCCTCCTTTTCCTGCCTCGTCATCCCGCCTCATCGTCCTCCTCCCTCTCCTCCTCCTCCTCCTCCTCCTCCTCCTCCTCCTCCTCCTCCTCTTCTCCTCCTCCTCATCCTCCTCCTCCTCCTCCTCCTCCTCCTCCTCCACCCTCTGCCTTCTCATCATCATCAGCATCATCATCAGCAGCATCATCATCATCATCATCCTTCTCCTCCTCCTTCTCGTCCTCGTCCTCGTCCTCCTGCTCGTCCTGACTCTTCCTCCTTCTCCTCCTGCCTCCTCCTCCACCACCTCCTCCTCCCTCCTCCTCGTCTTCCTCCTCGTCTTCCTCCTCGTCTTCCTCCTCGTCTTCCTCGTCTTCCTCCTCCTCCTCCTCCTCCTCCTCCTCCTCTTCCTTCCTGCTGCTCCTCCTCATAACTTCTGTTCCTCCTCCCCTCCTCCTGCTGCTCCTCCTCCTCTTCCTCTTCCTCCTCCTCCTCCTCAGCCCTCCTCCTCATCCCCATCCTCATCCCCATCCTCATCATCATCCCCTTCCTCATTATCCTCCTCATCCTCGTCGTGCCTCTTCCTGTGGCCTCCTGCATCCCCCTTGAGCATCCTGCCCACTTCTGGGGCCTCCTTGGGCCTCCGGCAGCCTCCTGCAACCTCCGGGGACTCGTGCAGCCTGACCTCCTCATCCTGCCCCAGACTTCTCCTGGGGCCTCCTGCTGCCACCTGGAGCTTCCTGGGGCCTCCTGGAGCATTCTGGGGCCTCCACGGACCTCCTGGGGCCTGGGGTACTTCTGGCACCTCCCGGGGCGTCCTGGAGAACTCTTGGGGCATCCTAAAGGGCTTCCCGGGGGCCGGCTGCGCCCTCCCAACGCCGGGACATCGCCCATCCGACGTCGTGGTGCTGTCTCGCGGCGTTGGCTCCCCTGATGCCCCTCTCCCTGGTCGGCGCGAACGAGATGGGTACGGAAAGAACGGGTCCAATGCCCAACAGCAGTTCCTGTTCATTTTGGACAGGACTCGCTGTCCGCGTCGCCGCGGCCTGTGTCCACTTGAGACAGAAGGCCGCCTGCCCAACAGGCATTGTGCCCAATTTTTCCGTACCCATTTCGGGCGTCCAAACTCGGGAGTCGGTGTTGACGGTCCTGGTTCCTGGTATGGGCTCGCGGAGGCCCGAAGATTGCCCCCCGAGTGGAAAGTGAGCAATCGGAAACGCCCGCATCCGCTTTGCCCGGGGAAGCGTAAGACTCGAGTCGCCGAAATTCGGGTTCGCCGACGCTTTTTGACAAGCGCGTCCTGAATTTACACGGTCCAACGTTCGTGGGATGTTTGCAGCGGGAGCTCGCGTCAAATTTCAGATTGGGTCGCGTCGTTTTCGTGATGGGACCCTGTCAGGCCAACCCGAGTCCCCCGAGTCGAGTCGTACGTCTCCCCGACCAGAGTCGCTCTTGCGTGTCGCGGACAGAGCTCCGACGCCTGGGTAGACCGTTTATGCGTTTATGTGATCCGACGCAGGCGCACCTCGACGACAGCCACCAGGTCCAGGCGACGCCAAGGGACAGCATCACCGACTCTGGCCAGGCCGGTATTGGGCCCAGGATCGGTACGCACGCCCTCCTGGCTTGCCCCGAGCCCGAGTCTTACGTCTCCCCGATTGCTAAGGCCTTACGGCCGGTACCGCCGAGCCTGGAGGCTTCGGCCTCGACGGAAATGGGATTGAGAGGGCGGGCCATGGGCCCCGGGAGGGTGGTATTCTGACACGGGACCACCCCCAGGGGCTCCCCCCCTGGGACCACCCCCCAGGGCCCCCCCCCCCCGGGACCACCCCTTGGGACGCACCTCCGCGGGGAAGGGGTCGGGTCAAAGGGAAGGGGCCTCCCTTCGACTCAACGACCCCGTTGCTTGATTTCGCTGTGGATGGGCTGGTGTATTTCGCTTTGGCTGGCGTGCGGACGAGTCGCAGCGCGAGGGTGCCGTCGCGCCGCGCGGCCCTGCGCTCCGCGAGGCGTGGCGAGCATGTCCTCGGAGCAGCGCAGGGGCGCACAGCAGCAGCAGGGGGCCCGCCCCCGCCGCCGCGCAGGGGAGAGGGGAGCTCTCCTCCTCAACGTCCTCCTCCTCCTCCTCCTCCTCCTC